GGGCTCCTGCTCTGCTCTGGCAAACCAGGGCAGCTCCTGCTGCTCAGCCACTGTGTTTTCAGGGAATTAAAAATAAGTATTTCAGGCCCAGAGTCAGGACAAGCGAGCCATGTGTCGCGCATCTGGAAGCAAGAGAGAACGTTAAACCATCTTTTGCTTCCTGATTTCCCTCCCACCCCTCATTTCTAATCGTGAAATCATTGCAGAGCTCCTTCTGCGTTCCTCAAGCTGTGATGCCCATTCTGGTGAGGTGGTTAAATAGCGTAAACTCATTAACCATTCTCAACTGAGTAATACGCAGTGACATAACATAATTTCTTTTCCATAGCTGTCTTGCATAATGCTGCACTTCAGTTCTTGTTAGTCTTTCCATTTCATCCTTTTCATTTCTATGACGTCCATCTGTTTACCAGACAAGGTTTAGAAAAAAAAAATGGAAGAAAAAAATAATAATCCCAGAAAACAAAAAGAAAAAACCACACAAGTGAGTGTGAAGGGGATTTAACAAAGAACAGAGGTGTTGGGACACTGGAATGAGAACTGCTCTTGCCCCAGGCAGGTGGGTGAGAGAAGGTCCTGGATACCTGGGGACTAGAAAAGCAGGTAGTAGAACAGTTTTCTCTTTATTTTCTTCCTCCTTTCCTCCCCCCTTGCCACAAACCAGAAAAAGAACCCAACCAACCACCTCCCCCTCCAAAAAAACCAACCCCAACCACCCTGGAAGAGCTGGCATTCTGGCTGTCAGGAAGCTGTCTTGATTACAGAGGCAATTACTGCTGTAGTTGGTTATTGGTCACGACATTTCCTAAAAAAATTAAATAATTCTCTAACAAGAATTCATGTTCCTCTGGACTTGCTTAAAGTCTAACAAGGAATTGCACTGCTTCAGCCAAAGAGGCTTTGGAAACAGCTGAGTGATGGGTTTTTTCTCCTGCAGGTTGGCAAGGGGAAGGGAGAAGGCCTTAGAAATCTCCGAGATGCTCAGGTTGCCATTTGCAGGAGACAAGCACAGCCAGAAAAAGCCAAGTTTAGTCAAAGGAAAGAGTAAGGTGATAGTGATTTGTGGTAGATAGGGAAGGTAATTTGTATTCTGCTCTGAAGAATTGGGGTGTAGCCAAAGTACAGCTCTGAGCAGTGTCACTTCTGGTGGGACCCAGCTGAGGTCCTGCAGGGCCAGGTGTCCTGCAGGTGTGGAGATACTTGAAACACCACTGTATAGAAAAGATGTTGTGGTTCTTAAAATGAAACATGCCGTTTCAGACCGGAAAACAAACATCCCTGTCAGTTTCTGCAGAGACAAGTGTCTCTATGAGCTGTTAACCTGACGGCTCTGAGCTCAATGGCTCTTCCCCTGGGAATCTGGTTAAATTGGACTGTCTGTAGTGTCAGTGGTATCTCAGCGATGGCCTTCTGGTTCTCTGCCTCTCCTCTCTCCAATGCCTTAGAAATGACTATATTTCATTTCGTTTTTCTTGTACTCTTGCCTTTTTCACCGAGATGGTAACTGTCATAGACCTCACTTGCTAATCTCTTCTAAATGTGATCGTATTCCTCTTGCTGTGTCCAGAACATGGCACTAAATGGGCTGTGGAGCCTTGGTTGTGTTGCTGAAAGAGTGAGGATCAACCACTGCCCTCCCTGGTGGTTTTTTCTCACTGGTGTCAACTGTTGAGTCTTCTCTCAAAGCTGTGACTTCTCAAGGTGGATCTGGGGCTGAGGGTCTATCCCAGCAGAGCTGAAGAGCTGTGGTGAGACAGGGAGAACTGGAATTCTTTCCTTAATCTGGACCAGGAACAGAGGGGTTAATGTGTCTAGTGGCCAGAAGGCACTACACAGAGCTTAAAATAACCAAGATCAGGATAATTTGGCTTTAAAAACCATCTGGGGTTTGATTCAGTGCTCATTAAAATTCATAGTAGCCTTATGATTGGCTTCTGGAAGAATTAAGCAGGGTGTTACACTTCTAATGAGTACTTTGGGCCTTGTCCAAGAAAGTACATAAATGCATACAATAATGTCAGAAATTAGCTTCTTTCCTGTAACATCCAGCTTAGAATAAGAATCTTTCTAGCACTTGTGGAAGCCAGTGGGAAAAAGAAAAAAAAAGCTCTTGGTTTCCACGGGAGGTTGGGTTGGATCTGAAGAGCAGATGTTGTGGCTGGCTCTGGAAGGAGGTCTCTCCAGGCAAGTCCTCCCTGAGCCCTTCGTGCTGCAGCAAGCCAAGCTGTCCAGTCTGGGTACACGCATAATTAATTTGCAGAAATCAGAGCTCCTGAGCGTGCGGTGAGAGGTGTGGAGACCCAGATTGCAAACCTGGATGCTGTTATGGAATATTTGGACCATAAAATGAAAAATGCGCACTGCTTTTCGTTCATGAGAAGCCTCAGTGTATGAAGCAACGTCACAAGTAGTTTAGATCGTGTACCACCTCATGAGCCATAGGTGATGTTGGGAAACAAGATGCTCCTTTTTGTGACTGAGGAAGCGTCCTGATTTCTGACACTTTATTATAAAATGTGCGCTGTTTGGTGTT